CTTCTCATATTTTATAGACAGTAGACAGTGCTGTGTCACCACATGATGACTTTTCACTTACAAGATAACTTCTATTACAGTGGCTCAAATAACTCAAGTCTGTTAACTTCTGATGAGTCAAGTCAAACCTACATTAGTGCATATCAGTGCTGATTCAATTTCAAAGAGGATTTCTGAGTAACGCTTATACTGCACTGCAAAGGGAGAAAGAAGGAGGGTTTGATGAACAGTGGAAATGGGGTTAGGGGTTTAATTTTTGTAAATTATTACCAACTTTCCGAGTTCTTATCATTGCTGGTAAAAGATAGAGTTTCCAAAAAAAAAAAAAGACCGATTCTGTCTGTATGGTTTTATTCCAGCAAAAGTGAAAAAAAAAAAAAAAGTTCAAGCTCATTACTTATTTATTCAGACACCTTTGCAAAAATCAAAAAGAAGGCCGAAGAATGAAAGGAAATAGCAAAAACAAACAGTTATATGTATATTTCAGCGGTCTGTTCATAACTGTCTCTTCTTCACTCACTTAGTAAAAATTTTGCCATTATCTTAGCTTTGCTATTTCCTCTTTTTTTTTTGCTCTTTTTTGAAACAGATGTAAAAATATATTGAGCAAAAAAAGAAAAATGTTTTTAATCTTTTTTTTTAAGAAGCAGATAACTGTCATCAACATTTGGTGATCAGTTTTGACGTGGACAACCAGGTCGAAGATGTATATTTAGAAAAAACTATCGTTAAACATCTATCATTCATGTTTAATCGATCATTTTCTTTACTTTTTCTCTTTTTGCCTATGTAACTGTTATGATTATTACAGTTATTATTTTAATTCTAACCAATAGCAATAATAATATATTGTTTTTCTTTTCTAAGTTTTATCGTTTTTATTTTTATTATTATTACTCTAATAATTAAACTCATAGAGTGTTTTTTTTTTTTGCAGCTGATGGTCGACAAATGTATAATATTGAAACTGATGATTGCAAATGTATGAGGTTTACCTTTCACTAAGTTCTTCTCGAATTATGGCACCTTGTGGTAACAGTATCAACGCTAAACCATTTGCACGACGTTTATTTTCTACCTAAAATCGAGGAAATTTATTGAACGTATTTTATATTGTGCTGATGCTTGCCAAAAAAAAAAAAAAAAGTATTTTTTTTTCATAAAATTTTTTGATATAAGTAA